CTCAATTGATCTGGCTGATGGCGCAGTCCCTGTAATTTGAAACAGTTATTTTAATTTGGGGGGGGGGTACTTTACATGGAGCCACTGGGACATTTGCAAAATTTTCAAACAAATGACACAAATTTTTTTATTACATTTTTTACTTTGGATGGCGAAAAGGACGGTTAAGAGAGTGGCGCAGTGGCCAATTTCGTTAAAATCCCTTAGTTTTTGAAAATTGCAAAAGTTCACAATTTTTGCTGTGTTTTCCTACAACTATAATTTTGAAGATGTTTTTTAATTAAATGTGTTTATCAGAAACATCTTCAAATTAAATCATGATCAATTGTCCGAAAATATATTTTTGCGTTACACATGGGCAATTGTAAAATATTTTTTTTAGAAACTACTCCAAATTTGTTTAAAATTTTCTCTCGCGTATAGCAAAGAACTGTAAAAATAGTGGTTATGGTTCCATTTTTGGTGCACTGTGTTTTGTTTTTTTTCAAATAATTGCAACAACAAATCGAAATTGTAAATTCGAATTTCAGACGCTTCGTTGGACGCGATGTAATTTTTTATTTTCCATTATTCGAATTAATTGTTTTCACAAAATAGCAACACAAAAAGGCCAATTCAAATGCAAACGTAAACAGAAGCCTAACGCATATACGTAAACATTAACATAAGTGATAGAAGTATTCACCATGTCTAACATAAACATAAGAAAAATAAAGAGTTTCTATTGGTTGTGAGACATTGGTAAGAATAAATTTCGAGCTATCGACTGTGTCCATGGCCCATATCGCGTTACTTCGTCTAACAACTTCGATTCTTGATTTTGAGTTAACGGACTGTGATTGGTTCATTTCTTGTCTTACTTAAGCATAAGCACAGCATAAGCTTGAAGCTGGCAAGCTTTTAAATTAAAACGTCGTAGGTGTCATGCTTATGCGAACGCGTTGTGAATAATTCCTAAGTTTTATTTTAACGCTATGCTTACGTTTGTTTGCATTGTGAATGGGCCTAAATTCTTCGAATTCATACCATTGTCGGTCGTGCTGATGTTTGAAGTAGATAACAATCTTATGAATGAAATAGATTGAAGGAATGTAATAAATTTAACTTAGAACGAACAAACACTTGTTTACTTGACGTTTTGACAGCTGATAATGGTATTCAAAAATTAAAAGCCACTTCAATGTAATCAAGGCATGCTCGTGTGAAATTATCCATGCTTTTCTGGATTATATGCTGCAAATACTATAACAGTTACATTTATTCATGTTTCTTTTGTGAAAGTAAGAAATGACTACTGTTCCTGACAATCGAAATAAATGCAGATTTGCACCAGAGTCTCATCATTTGAATTTTATTGAATGAGATTTCAAATTTTGACTGAGATGCTACTATGACAGAAATTGCAATACAGTAATCCCTCAACATTCGCAAGAGTTAGATTCCCAAAAAGCCTTGCGAATGTTGAGTCTATCGTTTAATGAAGAAATGAGGGTTAAGTTCTTTGAGAGCGTATATATGGTACTACACAATTTTGTTTCAATACATAATTTTAACATAAATATTTATATCAATTTTGCCAAATAAAGGAAAGTAATAAACGAAAACTTCAGGCCTTTTTGGGGTGAGGACATACCACTGGTAGCACCGCTAGTTTATTTACGAAAGATATCCAGAAAATAAGAATACAACACTTGTTAAAAATCGAATAACGAATCGAATAATATTTTAATGAAATTTACAAGATAAGTCCCAAAATATGTTGGCACATCTCCCTTGAGGTCAATGCACTTTTGAAGCCTGGGCACCAACTTTTGTATACCGTCGTGGTATACCTTACGCTCCACTTTTTCATTGTCTCCATGACCTCATCATTAGAATGTCGCTGTCCACCCAAGAACTCCTTCAGTTTGGTGAAAAGACGATAATTCGAGGGTGCCAGCTCAGGGGAGTAGAATGGGTGAGTCACAATGGCCCATCCAAACGACGCGAGTATGTCTGAGCAGCCGGGAGGTATGGGGTCTGGCGTTGCCAGCATCCCACGAGTCAACATCCCTCTTCTTTTGTCTTTGATTTCTTGTATCAACTCCTTTAGGATCTCACCATATGCAGCAACATTAATGGTGGTCCCTTATGGCATGAAATCGACCAACAAGATCCCGTTCCGGTCCCAAAAAGCGGATGCCATCATTTTTCTCTGATGTCGAATTTTTTGGTGTTGGCGAGTGGGGATGGCGCCACTGCACCAGTGTTATCAATTTGGTAACCGACGATTCATTATCTCGGATCCACATGTTTCCAGAAGCTGGCAATGGATACTAGCCGCCGGTTCATTGCACAACGTGAGGAAGCAAATGAACGAATCTCACTTCTGCGGTAATACGTGAAGCAAGCGAGCGACGAACTGGATAACGTGATTAGCTGCCGCGACATTTCGTAACGATTTCGATGTCTCATCATGGCCATTAAGAAACAGTCTATACGATATGAATGACAACTTTGAAAAAAATATTCTCCATTGGCCTACACAGCCTTTGTATTCTTTACTTTCTGGACGTGCCTCGTATACATTTCTCCTTTAGCTATAATATAGCTATGTTATAGTTCTGATGAAGACCAGTACGGTGTCGAGTAATGTCATATATCCGATGAACAGGAATGAGACTGCATGAGAGGAGTTTCTTCATGCCAAAACCCAGACACACTTGTCACGTCTTCAGCCAGTCACAAACCATAGTGTTACATCGACACCCTGTCACACACAAACTCTCTGATATTAAACTCACCGTTACACTAAACTACAGCCACTCGGCAACCGCCGCGCAGCACTTACTGACAGTCACGCTGACCCATCAAGTGTTTACTAGCATGAAAGAAATAACGAATTAGCACCAAATGCGGGTTGTTAGTTAAAGTAAAGACCTTTCTGGTTACCTTGTTCCAGTATATTTCTTTCTCGCTGTTACTATAAAGAGAAAGTATAATCATGGGCTTGCAAACGTAGAATTTTCGGCAGAAAAACTCCTATTGCCGGACCCTGGTAACGACAACGGGGATAAATGTTGTTCTTATGTGTATTAATTTACGCGTTGTGTACTCAGAAACCATGTTTTGTGCGACCTTGAGACCGAAAATCGTGGCTCGTTGGCGAAGTCGCTTGCAAAGGCAAGCACCACTGAGGTTCCACGTACGATTCCCGTAGAATCGCCATAGAACCTCATGTGACATTTGTTACGACAAAACGCGTTTGCATGCTTAACAGGGGCTAGTCCAACCCCTGTGAAGCGTCCTAAAGCTTACCCCTATCCTCATTCCTTCCCAATTCTCGACTGACGTGACGACTACCCAGCGGTCCTTAAGAGGACCATGTGTGAATAATAACCGAGGATTATTCCACGGTGCGCTCAACACTCCTTAAGAAGCTAGGAGACGCGTTGCATCTATGTAGACCCAAAAAAGGTGTCTGACGTGAAAGGTAGCTCCTAACCGTTCAGCTGATATTCTCCAAAAGTGATATACCCTGATCTATATTAAGGAACTCGATACCATCTGGGTTTGAAACGGATGTTTTAATTTTGGGGGATACTTGAATATACATAAGATATACATGAAGCCTCATTTGCGTTTTTAAAATGTTCTCAAAGTGGTTTCTTATTTTTGTATTAAATGTCTTTGGATAGTGTAAAAGACGATTAAAAGAATGGCAGAGGACGTGTTTTCTTTAAAATGCCTAATCTTTCGAAAATTGCATTCGCTCTTTTTTTTGCAGTCTTCTTACAACTACAGTATTGAAGATGTTTTATCTTCAATACTGGTGTTGTCAACGAGCCACTTGTCTCAATTCTGGTGAACTCTGCATGTTTGGAAATTTTCAAAAACTTAACATGGCCAAAGTGCAATAATGAAGACAGAGATTTTTTGTCTTCAATAAGATCTGTTCTAAAAAAAAATTTTTTTGAAAAAACACATGGTTTTCACATAAATTCTGGTTGAAGTTAATGCAAATTATAAATAAAACATTTCCACAAAAACTGCTCCAAATTTTGGACGGATAGAACAAGGGACAATTGAGAGAATAGTGCAGGTCTTGCATCGGTGTTCTCTCTGAATTATCAAAAATTGCAAATTTAGAAATAATCCCAGAAAGTGTGTGCTGTTTTTATCATCGCTGTTCTTCCAGAATGACGTCCAGAATATTTTGTTGATTTGAGTAACTGTCTTTTCTAATGTTTTAATGTCTATCAGTTAGTTTGCTTCAGACATTTGTAAATGTATTCTGTATTTTTGTAAATTGTATTTGCCAAGTGGCAACATTTGCCTTGATTTCCCAATGGTGATTGTAAGTCAAAATGTAGGTTATCTTGTGTCTCCTATTTTTCTTTCTGGGTGGGAGAACATTTTGTTGATTTGAGTAGCTGTTTTTTTATGATGTTTTAATGTCTATCAGTTAGTTTGCTTCAGTCCTTATCATTTACTTTGTATTTATTGTGTAATCTGTGTTTTTGTCTATTATTTAAGTAAATAAATTATTTTATTCAAGCTGGCATTATGTCCTAAAAGTGTGTGCTTAAAATATTGGATAAGTAGTAATTAGGATAATAAATATGAATGAAATAGTAAATATTTGGTGTTCATACATCAGACATGGCCAATTGATTATAACTACTCTGATTTTACTTATACTTTCATTATTCACTGTCATATTGTACAATAGAGTCCAAAGAATGTTTTCCACCAATTTAAAATATGCATTATTCAGGTTCATTCCGAGTGAAAATAATTTTCCTATTGACTTCAATTTTGTAAGAAATGATTTTCTTACTCACCTGTCTTGTAAATTGAACTGTTTATTTTATTTATAAAAATAAATCCATTTTCTCATTAAATGAGTAAGATTTTCTTTTGCTCATTGTAAACTGGTGTAAATTTTGATGTAGCAGCTTATGTTAGGAGCTACAAATAACACTTTGCTGAAAAATCCAAACTTTCTGTAACTGTTTCAGAGGGAAAGTATTTCGACCGTGTATGGCTATTGCAAGTCCACCTAGACCTAGCTTTCTGCCCATATCGGAACCTATTCCAGTTCCAACGCAGAGAAATGTTTATCAGCAGTTGCACTCTAACGATGGATTACCTTCTCCGACCAAGGTAGACTAGTGATTTTTGAGAAAATAAATGTATATATAAATTTTTGTCTTCTACCTTCTTCATTGATAGCAAAATTTCTAGTAATCCTAAAGTTTTGCATGGTATGATCACAGAATAATTTTGATAAATACTTTCATGTGTCTTATCCCTCCTCTCATGCTGTTTTATTATTAAATTTTTTGCATCTCATGTTATTATAATTAAATTTTATGGCCTAAACTAAATCATGCCTTGTTTTTTTCTTCATGCAATGCAGAGCACTGTACCAAGATCTCAGCCAATCAGCATGAAGCGAGGAGGAGACTACTCCAGGACAGCACCACCAGATCTGAGTTCCCTTTCACCACCTTCTGTAAGTCTGGACTTTCTTACGTATACTTTTTATTGTGAACTTGTGTGGTTCAAACTGTTTTTCACTTTCTTAATCCAATAACTCGTGCAAATTAATGACATTATTGTACTGGATCTTCAAATCCAATTATGTGGAAATTTGTAGAATTGATGCTCTTGAAATTGTGGTTTTGGGTAAGTATTGTGCTACTGATCAAAACACCTACAAGGCTACAGTCGCTTGTATCAAATTACATTTACCTAGCACTTCAATTGATAAGATTTATTGAGAAATACAGAATCATGACAAAACATTTTTGCTCCACCATTCTGAACCGGCTTATGATAAACGAAACAAAACTTACCGTATATAACCCGAAAATATTTTCAATAACTGCTAGCTGAAAATTGGGGTGCGAGTATTATTTGAACTCTGGTTGTAAAATTTTATTTTATTATTATTATTGTTGTTATTATTATAATATTATTATTGTAATATTTCATGGTGAGGAAACTATAAGTGAATACAGCAGAAGAAACAGAAAATGAACTAACTTGTCAATTTCTTTATCATCTTTATAAATAATTAGAGTGAGCAGCAAACCTTTCCAGGACAACTGGAATCCTTTCCTTGACATCTCATGATATCTCACTTGATCAACTTGGTGTGACTGGGTCACTATTCCACTCTCCGCGATGTAAAGCCTTTAGGCAGTTCCGAAGAGAGGTTGGAGGAGGAGGTTCGGTTATAGTGATTCTTCTCACACGCTAGGCAGTACGGGGTACCCAGTGTCTTTTGAAGATTTCCGCGTACTCTTGTAATCGCACGCGTGCGTACACATACACACGCGCGCACGCACACACTCACGCACGCGCGCACACACCCTCACGCACGCGCGCACACACCCTCACGCACGCGCGCACACACCCTCACGCACGCGCGCGCACACCCTCACGCACGCGCGCACACACTCACGCGCCCACATACCTACGCACGCGCGCGCACACACATACGCACACGCTCGCGCGCACATACTCGCGAACATGCGCGCGCACACACCCACACACTCGCACTCACTCACACATACACACACACTCGCACACTCACTCACACATACACACACACACTCGCACACTCACTCACTCACACATACACACACACACTCGCACACTCACTCACACATACACACACACTCGCACACTCACTCACACATACACACACACTCGCACGCTCACTCACACATACACACACACTCGCACGCTCACTCACACATACACACACATTCACACACTCACTCACACATACACACACACTCGCACACTTACACACACATTCGCACACTCACTCACACTCGCACACTTACACACACATACACACACACACTCTCACACTCACTCACTCACTCACTTAGGGTTCTAGAGTTAACATATAACTCCTATAATTCCCAACTCATGTAAAACGCTATCAATGTTCTGTTTTCCTTTGAAAACTTCTCTGGCTCATAAAAGCCCTTAGACTGTCCAACCTTCTTAAACTGACACTACCACCTAGTACACGTCTAAAACAATTTCAGGTGTTAAAATCCACACATCCCAGCCGCAGCTTCATTTTCACTATTGGTTCCTCACAAAATGACATTGTAGGTTGTGCCTTTTACTGTCCTAGCATCAAGAAAGTATCATGTTGAGTTGTGCAGTGTTCTTCCTGCAGAAAAATATGCCCTATTTGAGGCTCTAAAATACAGTGTCAGTACACAAAGTAGTGGAGTGTAGCAATTCAAAAAGTGCTCTTGCATCCATTTCAACCTTCTCTTCTTGTGACTCCTTGACAATGAGTATCCAACATAAAATAAATCGTCTAATGTTGCATCATTACTTTTCGTTATTGTTGGTTTCCTGGCCATGCTGGAATAACACAGAATGAAATAGCTGACCACGCAGCACAGTTGGCCACAAGAAAACCAGAGTTAAGACATCCTTGGGCATGCAGACTATGGAAGTTGTTTGCAAAATGTTTTGTTCTCAAGGAAGGCAAGAAACAGAGAAGCAGAATTAAGATTTTGTTCACGAAAATAAAGAACTATAAAACCTTGGGCTTCATCATCTAGGTACAAGTACATGTGCGTTCATATCTGCCACTGTCCATTCTCCCCTGGATATCTTCTCCACAGGGATCTACCCTTACCTGCAAATGCTGCATGTGCTCTGTGGTAATGTACAGAAGAGAGAGCCACCAAAGGCAAGGCCTTGCTGCCTCTGAGAGAGAGCTAAGGTGGTGATGAATCCTCTCATTATAAGCTTTTGCTTCCTGCAGGAAAATGGAATTTATAGCCTAGAGGAAAACCAAGGCCAATTAACAAGGCACTTACTTACCTGATTTAGTGTTCACCTAGCTCCTTTTGTGCCAAATTTTTCATTTTTTGTTGGAGAATATTTATCAGTGTTTTTCTGTACTCTTATTTTCTGTGCACTTCTAAAATGTTCTAGTTAAGTACTGTGACAATGCATCCACATTCTTGCAATAAATTTCAAATGGACACTGCTCTTAGATGTTGAAGCACCCTTAAACTTTAATCATCATTAATTTCCAATTCTGAATTTTGTGGACAAATGCATCATTTCAGAATTGGTTCTCAATCTGTTTTGATGAGATCTTAGGAGCTGTATTGAATCATGGAGTGATCAAGGTACTAAAATTTATTTGTGTAATATTTCTTTACAAAGAAACTAATAAACCAATGAAATCTACCTGGACCCGTACTTCACATGTATATTATATGGAGTGTAACAGAAAATAAATGCTGAAAATATTAGTTTTTGACATAGGCGCCAATGAAGTCACCTTTGTCCAAAGTCCAAAATCTCAATCTAATAATCATTCCATCAGAACTCATTGACAGTTCTGAGTGTTAAATTTCCCTTGAAGTAGTAGCTGGTCAGTATTAATCCAAGAGCAAGTTTTGTATTGTGATTTTACTTGGCTTAAGTATTATTTTTTGTATGTCTGCGAAGGAGACACAATTATTATATATAGTTTACATATAATCTGCTACAAACAATGTTTGTCAAACGTAATTGTAAGGAAAGAAAAACTGAAGAGTAGCATGGGGAACATAACACAGTGTTTCGCAAGCATCGACATCTGCCACGTTGTAAGGCATATCCCACAAACTCTGGCTATGAAGAATCAAATGAGAGTTTGAAAGGAATTAGGGGCGTTTTCTTAGTTGACAGATGTTAAAACTGGTAACTATTCAACTTATTTTTGCAAGTAAAATTGGATTCTCTTAATACATTTGAAAAAATTTCCAAAACCCTTTGCAATGTTAATTTTTCACAAAGGCAGCAGCAAGAAGCTATTATACACATATTTTGTATTATATAACATACTATACAAACTTTTTTGTTGCTTTATAACATTTCTCATTTCCAGGTAGTGTTTAAATAGTCAATAGTTCCCACTTCAGTATAATTTGCTGGAAGAGCATTGCATGTATTGTCTTGTTTTGATTCCCCCCTCCTTCGGTTTCCAAGAAGGTCTCTTACTCTTAGTCTGGTATCCATTGAACTTGGAAATAGAGGGATAATTTTTTGGGTGTTGTAGAGTCCTTTTATAATTTTGTGTATTTCTATAGTAAGATCACTGATTCTTCTGTTCTAAAGTGAGTAATATCATTTCTTGTCTCTGTCTTCGTATTGAAGTTCTTGATAGTTCCTGGCAATTTTTAAGACTTTTGTTGTACTCTTTCCGGATTTTTAATGAAACGTCAAAATAACATTGCCTGCAAACTATAATACCCTGAGAGGAATAATATGAATGTGTAAATATTTTTTTAAATAAAATTTCTTAGACGTAACCTCTTTTATTGAATAGTGTACTCAAGAACTGCTCTTTTCAAATTTGAAACCCAATTAAGAAACTATAGTGGATATTGCAGACTTTTCTTGCAGACTGCCATAGATAAAATTGGTGCATGTTAGGCTCTTCAGGATTGTTTTTCTGTCATTTTTGGAAGGCAAATGTTGAAGAAACCACGTTGTCTAGAAGTTGTGGCAGTCTTAAATAAAAACTGAATTCATATTTGTGTGGAATTGCCCAGGTATGCTCTGGTATTTGTGTGCAGTTGGCAAGGAAACAATTGCTGTTGCGATTGAATGCTACCCTAAGAGGACATTATTTTGTACAAAGCTATCAGAAAGATTAACTTTTCAATTAACTATTATAATGGACAATAAAAAAAGAAAAGAGCTTTAGATCTCAATGATCATGAGACTAATTGAGAAATATTAAACGTTTTTTGAAAATTTTAAGTTATATATAGCTAATTAAAGGTTAAAGTGCAGTCAAATTACTACTGCTGATGCAAGTCCGTTTGCTTTTCAACAAACAAACCCTTTTCTTATAGGTTCAGTTCATGATTGGTACCCCTCCCAGTGGAGGAAGGCGGCGCTCTGCATCTGGCAGCTCATGCGAGACACCGCCCCCAGTCACCACTTGGCAGGTGTCTCCAGTGTCTGCGGGTAAGATAACACCTACAAGTTCTCCCCTCAGACGCTCAGGTAACTTGAACACCAAACGAATTACAAGGTTTTATGAATATTATCAGAGGAATTGTTAAATTATTTTGGTATAAATGTTTCTTTTTTTTCTTTTTTTTTTTCTTCTTAATGTAGGAACTAGCTCGCCTCTCTTAAGTGGTCCTTTGGCTTGCCTACCACCCATTATAGGATCACCTACACGTTTGAGTGACAATAATAATCTACGGCAGTCTCCAGTGATGCCATTTGCAACAAGGGCTATGACATTGCCCGAGATATCAGGTATTAAATAGTATGCATACTTGTAAAATAAATAACTTGCAATTGGAAATTTGTTTGTAGCATGTATAGGGGCAAATGATTTTTTGGCGGCTCTAAATACTTCTTTGAAGAGGATTTGTGGTAAATTGTCAAATAGAGATTGAGATACTTGGGATTAGATATGGTGGTTTGTTTGCAACAGAATTTACAAATTGCTTGGCAATTGAGTGTATTTGTTATGTGTGTAACTGAGAATGTGTATGGTATTGTGTTCAAATAGTTTATGCACTGCCTTATAATTTCCCAAACAGGGTACACTGGACATGGGAGATTTAGATAGAGCATTCAAAACATTCCAAAAATTACATGAGAATTACAATTTTTAATATTTGCTGGAAAATGACATGAATTCGTATTTTGTTTTGGTAAATATTGTATATTATAATTTAATATCTTATTTATTTTATTGATTTATTTTCTTTAATTCTCAAATCTGAGCTCAACACAAGTTGCTTTTTTGGTCCCAGCAGGCCATGTCCAAGTTCAGTGCTGTTGTTTTTGTCTTAGCTTCTTGTGGTTTCATGTTATGGCTATCTCACCTTCTGCTCTTATTTGAGTTTCATAGGAAACTTGACCATCGTAAACTGGTAATCATTTGCCTTTTTCTACTACTACATCAAAATGTGAACATAACTAAACAACAGAAATGAAACCGACATTGTGGACAGCATGGGCTTAGGCAGGTTTGTTTCTGTTGATCTAAGGCTTTAAGATATCCCACATTGAGGACATGTTAAAAGAGCCAACATATAATTCTTTTTCAGATGATCAGGGTTTAGGAATGTATGAGAATCACTATCAAATGGAATCAGATGTACATAGGGTCGTTGTTGTTTAATTCTCATGCTAAATGAAGTAAATTGAATCAAATTGTGAATCAAAAAAATCAAGTAATGTTTAATATTTACAGATTTCGTAATACATTATGAAATCATTTTAATTTTCTTTTTGAATACATACAAACACTGATGGGCTTTATAAGAATAAGTACGAGTAAGCTGTTAAATGAAAGTCAGAAACATCTGAGATACCTCAATGTGCACACAGTGTAATTGCAAGTAAAAGTGTTAAATATATCTATGTTTGTTGGTAAATAGAGTCAATCGGGAGAAATGGAGACATGTGAACATGTAATGGGTAATCACTTTTAAAATGGAAAGTACCGAAATTGAACTGTGGTATGAAGTAATTCAAGTAGACTTGTCTCCATTTTCTGTAACAGAAGCAGGAGGTCTTCAAAGAATGTTTCACGATGCTCCAGCTCCATCTCTGGAAGGGCCCATCACTTTTGTGGCCCCTGAACTTCCAGAAGAAACATTGTTAGAGGTAAGGGATCAAAAAATTGGATATAGAATTTTCTGAAGTAATGAGAAATATAATGGTTTAGTTATAAATGTTCTCTATTTACAGCGTGAACATAATGAAACATTAGCCAAATTAAATTTTGTATTGGCTTTGTCGGATTGTGTGGTTGAACTGGCAGCATCACGAGCAGCTCCATTAGCATCTCTAACAGAGAGTATTAGTGGCAATGTGCGTCAACAGAGTGAAGGTAGCCGCCGGGCAGAACAGTTGGTGTTATTGGTTCGTGCTTTGCAGCTTCTGAGCTCAGGGCTGAATCTAGCAACACAGCAACTTCGAGCTGGCCAGCTACAACCCTCAGCATCAGTAAAAAATGGTACTTGTTGTGTTTGTGCTGATGTACAGTCTAAAGCCAAAGTTTATTATTTACTTGTGATTATTCATTTATTTTTCATAAATGATGAAATGGCTAAAACATTCTTCGATCAATGTGGCCAAACTCAAGGGCGTTCGAATTTGAAATGAATAGGTTCGATTTTTTGGGGCACTTAACATGTAGCTCCAAAGGCATTTATTTTTAGAATTTTCTCAAAATGTGTCCAAGATTTTCCTTGTTTTTCTCTGATGAAGAAAAATAAAAGTATAAGAATGGCACAGGTCCCACTTTCATTATTCACACTCGATTTTTTAAAATTCCAAAAATTACAAGTTTTTGGGGGATTTAGTTTTTGCTTTCTCGAATTCCAGAGATGATATTTTTCAGTCAACGGTTCCATTCCTCCATCTCTTGTGTAGCTGCTCACATTTCTCTGTAGTGTGTGTGTGCATAATTTTGGGGAAAATACGGAGTTTTATGAAAATACTTCTCTTCATAAAAAATAAGTAATGAAATTGAAGAAAATTGATATTATAAAAATATATTTTGTGAAAATTACAAAATATGTAATGAAAATATATATTTGAACTTTGTTTTATATTTTTAGATAAATATGGTTTTCAAAAAATATCTATGCAATAAACATTAGGAGAAAAAGTCTTTTATAATAAACAACTTTGTATTGGCAAGGGTACGATTACTTTCTAGCTTAATTATGGGGAATATCCTTTTTCGAATAAAAATGTGTAGATAATCTTTCCAAAGAAATCAACATTATTTTCTTAGTAATACTGAGCATAATATTAAAACAAAACAAAAGACTCTGTAAGGGGTTTCTTCTATTTTGTTTCAGTGGTGAGTCTTCTAAATACAAAATTCCGACAATGCTTGAGTGATTGTAAACAATTAAACACTCCAGGACTATTACAAAAAGCAGGTGTAGATCCTGGCAGTACAAACATCACTGCTGATAAAATTTTATATAATCATGCTATACAGATGGTAAGTCACATTCATACCTCATCTTATAATTATATTTTTACAATTCTTATATGCATGTAATCTACATTTAGCATAAGAAGTATTTAACTACAAATGTAAATCAATCACGATGTAAATGCCAAAAATTAATTCAGCATAATTGTTTTAGTGTCAGTCTGCTGCTTTGGATGAGTTATTTGGAAATCCAGAAGAATGCTCTCATCGTTATCAGACTGCTCAAATTCTTTTACACAGTCTGTCACAACAAGTTAGTCATCAACAAGATCGTGCATTGTTGACAAAGTGTAAGTTACCAGTATATTGTTGCTTAAATGTTGGTCTCCAATACTTATGTTAATATTTCATTATTGTAATACAATTTCTTGGTTTTAGACAAAGATGCTGTGGAGAAAAGATTATTTGTCCTTCAGAGACAAGGCTACGTTTATCCAATCTGACAAACCTGTTATTTTCAACAGTCTTCTGGTTTTGGAACTGTAGGAATTCCATTTTGTTGGAAGAATTTTGAAGGTTTAACCACAAACATTACTTTACTTGTTTAAGCAAGTGTATTCACCACTACGGGTTATTACTGATTATTTTTCATTATCTGTTACTTTTAAAGCTGTCCAAAAAAGTCCCATCTCTTCCATTTGTGGCAAATGAAAGAGACAAAAAGGTATTCTTATCCTAAGGTGACTGCTTGTAACACTTTTCAGAAAAGTATGAAGTTTGAACTTTCAGTATCTTTGAAAGTAATAAAGCATTAATCAAGTAGCATCTAAAGGCTATTTTTATTTATATTGGGTTTGAAGAATGCTGTTTAAATAGTGTTTTAATTAGAAACTAACGATTCAAATTTTAAATTGTATTTTGTATAGGACGTATAGTCTTATTGTTTCTCTGAATTACCAGATATTAATCTGCATTGTTGTGAATTGTATAGAACATGTTTATTTGTTCATTAATTTATTTGTGAGATGAAGAAATATTATTTTATATTTTCTCCCTCCTATGTACACAAACTTGATAATTATTGGTTTAGGTATAAGATATATATCTCCACCTAAATGAACTGTGCTTAGTAGGACTTTCAGAACGTGCTTTACAAATGTCTCACTGACATATTGAGTACAGGAACTTGTGAGTTTGAGGCAAAATTTTGCAGTAATTGCCGAACTTACTGACCTACATGGACAATGGTTTTGCATGTATTCTGTGCGAGTGAGTGGTGAAAGCAGTGGTTATAAATAAGTTTTGAATGTTGGCCATCCTTTTGAGAGATTTCTTACAAAGTGCTATGTAAATAATTAATCTTCTTATACTCATGACCTTATTAAAATAAAAGCATAAAACACATTTTCAGTGTTCCCAGTACATTATATTTGGACCTTGTATTTTTAAATGCTTGAACAATGGCAATAATTATGTTTCTACATTCACATGTGTGTGTGTGTGTGCGCGCAACATTGATTCAAATAATTGTTTATCTTGTATATGCTAGACTACCGACACATATGTGAATCATTGATATTATTTATCTACATTGTGTATAATTATTATTGTGTTGAAATGATAGACATTGTTAATGTTGTCCATGTTCAGTTTATCCCAGTCTTCCTACTTACAAAACATGAGAATTAAGCCACACAACTTCAGAATACGTATTGTTCCTCTCGCAACAGTCCCTTGGCAAATCCCCAGTAATTGAAACATGTTACAACATATCATTTATATGCATTTTATGAATATTGTGGTTTGTATATGCCTTACACTGAAGTGATCAGGAAAATCCTTTTTATTTGAATTTTCTGAAGTTATGTGCCTGAGTTTTCAAATATTACATTTTTTTTAAAATTATGTATACAATGATGCCCAGCCTGGATAGCAGTGCTTGTGACTGTGCTCAATGCTGAAAGAACGCGAAAGAAATTGAGGAACTGTATATAATTATATTATTTACACAAACTCCTTAAGTTATGAAAATTTAAGAGAATCGGTAAATAAACAATAAGCACTTTGACAAATATTTTATTTTTTCATTTCCATTTCTCATATATAAAACTGTCAGTTACCATCTTTCTTTATGGAGACATGCAAAGGTCTAGATCTGTAAATAAGAATAAGGAAAAGGTATATTTTTATGTTGAAGGTTGGTTGATGTTAGTATATGATAATGAAACTTTTATTTTACTTTACCTAAAAGAGCTGTCACTTAACATAGCTGGAGATGGCTATTTCTGATTTTAAAGCTCTAGTTAACTTAGATATAATGTAGTGATCATAAATGAATATTTTTTAAGAAAATATTTGCAATGACTTCACACACAGTGAATTGAAATATTAGAAAAGGCCAGTTTGCATGTCCATCAGTGTTGACATGAGAAAATGTATTGGAAATTTTCCGCAGAAAATTAAGCGCAGTACACGCCTATCATACTGAATTATTTTCTCAGAATTTTTTTCTCTGGTAGTAGATGATTACACTGACATCAAAATTCTTGGGAAAGTTCTTCCTGCAGAAGTATCATACTTGGAGTTAGTATAGTACTATTTATTTAGTCATGCATTTGATGTAAATCATCTGTTGGGGTTTTGTTTAAATGTCGCTACAGTGACATCACTACGTTCAAGCTCCTGATTGGATGAAACTGTGAACAACTGATTGACGTCTACTGCATAGTTAAATAACTCCTTATTTATGAGATTCAACTATTTCAGTGGTAATAGCATTACATGACAGGTGTTTGAGTATTAGAGTATTTTTTTTTTTTTAACAGTAGGTTAAAAGTCAGTGTTATTAAAAGAGTAGTGTTATTTAGGTTAGATTTTACTTTGTTGTAAAGATTATTTTTTATGCTACAAGATTAATTAGTCCTTTAGTTATCCACTTTTTCCTAGGTTTATTTTTACTTCCAAAAGTATTTGTCTGTTTTCAGTTTGACATTCCACTTTCTATCACATTTATGAAATTTTGTGTCGCCAGGTTCATGTTAATTGAATTATAAATTAATTGCTCCAATCAATTTCACTAGCTTACTTAATAATTTTTTGTAATTTAATTTATGTTTAATGAAAGAATTTTTTCTAAGTCTTCAACTTGTAATAGATTAATATTGTGTAAAGTAGCATAATGATAGCTAATATCAAGTTCACATACTATAGATGTAATATTTAAATTATTTGCAATTTTACTAAAACATGGTCAATATAAGTTGCCAAAGTCTCGGTGAGTAGTGGAAATATTTATAAAGGGAAGATATATAGACGTAAAAATTGCTTATGTACTATTCTGTGTGATATTTTTCGATGAACCGTTCTGGGGTAATTTATCATTTATTTCAGAATTCTGAAGGAAATGATGGAACCCTGCCATGAAAGTGACTAAGGATGACAAATAACTGAATAAAATAAAGTGACACACATTTATTAAAATTAAATCAGAAAAAACAGGGTAAATCCTTTTCTTTTAAGTGAATAAATACAAATTTTCCAAGTAATAAAATTTCAGAAAGAAACAATCAAAACAAATTCACAACGATCATATACCTAGTTATTTATATGAAATCTGAACAATAAATCAAGATCTTAATATCTATTAAGAAAATAATTAATCTCGAAGTGCCTCCAGAAAGAAAAAAGTTCTATCTATATTCAAGCGATTACAAATTCATTTACTATTACGAACTACTGAAGGGAATGAAAAAGTGCTTTGAGATATCAAACATTTCTGGTATCGACATTCAAGTTATGTTTAACTGTATTGCACTTTTGAGCACTGCAAAGAAATTGCAATAAAATAACTAGATTAACATGACAAATGATTCCCAAATTAATAATAGTTTATTTACTATCCACAACTGAAATTTTACTGTCAATGGATATTCAGGCAAGCAATACTGGAGAACCTTATTCCACTGATTGGCAACAGCATTTACATATGTTTGAAATGCTTCTTTAATAAGTGTACCTACTTCAAGAAACATTTTTCTGGAAAAACAATGTAAACCAATTCTTTATTTAACAGAATTTAAAGTTAAATACACTGCATAAATTTGCAGAATGAATAATCTCTTCCAACCAACACTACTCTCAGGGAGTGAAACACAGGTACTGAAAAAAAGAGAGAGAAAGAATTGAAGCAGCACATTTGAGATACCTAAGGCAAATATTAAAGTGACAAAGAAGGATAAAATATGAAAGAAGAAATTGAAAAGCAAAAACATCACTGAAATGTAAAATATCAAAAGAAATTTCAAGACCATAAAAAGGATGTAAGCAACCAGGATACCAAAAGAGGTGCTTGAACACCTAGGCAGTAGCTAGGGAACTACTACCGGTAGAGATGGCTCAGGGCATCAACTGATGTCACTGCAGTCCCTCTGTCCGGGAGGTTCTATGTTCGAGACCCAACGGTGGCAGGATTTTCGACTAGTTTGTCAGTTCGAATTCCATCGAGAATTCTAGTTGCCGGCTGCTCTGATTGGTAGTTTTCCGCGATTTCTCCGATCAACACTAGGCGAATGCCGGAGCAGCACCCTAACAAACGGGCCACGGATCTTTCCTACCTCTTCCTTCTCTAATCCTCACCCCTTTACACAAACACAAAAATGCACTACAGTACCACATATGCCAGGATACTGCTCGGGAGCTTAGAGCTTGTCCCGGCTGGGGCGGTGCCCTGCTGGTGGGAATAACCTAGTAAGGGAAAATTCACTAGCCGACGGTGGGTCGGCTCCGGATCTCGCCATTCAGCGGGGGAAGGCCACCGCCACCTACCGAACAAAAACATGCTCTACACTTACGGGAATAATATAATTAGTTGACGCACCCAGAAACAATAATAAACAAACATTAGGGTGCTACTATAAGAATAGGAACAGACCATTGGTCTACACCTAAAAAGTTCGCAATGGCGATGAATACTCTTCATAAGTTCAATTCTAAAATGTAAAATGTCAGAAGCTCGATTGCCTTACACAAAGTGCAATAGATTAATATCTAAAATGATTGAGTTTTAAATTAAAGTGCCTTGTTAGTTTCATTAATTCGTTTTTCCAGTTCTTTTTTTTATTAAATCTTTTCCAATTTTTTTAAATGAAGTAAATAAATTATCGTAAAACAATTATCATTCGCTCATTATATTTTCATTATTTTTTTTAACAAACGGAATATGGCGTTTGTAATATAGCACATTTCGCATTAACCCTACCAAAAGTTTAAAGAAAAAATTTGGAACCGTTTTAGAAAACTATAACTTTTTGATATTTTTTAATGTTACTCGTGTTGCAGCCTATATTGCACGAAAACTAGAAAAGTTGACAAAACATGTGCACGACCTTAATGAAAGAACTTATTAAGGAGAAAAGAAGTTGTATGAAGGAAAAATATCTTCATGTAGCTTATTGTAGCTGAAGGAAGTCGCCGAAAACAATTCAAACTCTTGCCATTATAGAAAATTCAGTTATCTGTGAAAATCGGACCTATGCCACCTTTATGAGTGTATTTTACTCTTTTACAAGAAATTTTACTCTACCAGAATTTTTTTAAAATTTGGAACACTGAAAATGGTGGCCTAATTTAAAGAACCGCCAAAAATTAATACACGTTTTTCAAAATCGAATATTTTCGACTCAGGCCTCAAAAATTTCTTTAATTTGGAAAAAATCCTACCCGCGGTTTAGTTGCTAGTGTTGTTCACATACACCATATGGACAGACACGCGGCCGAACATTTTGAAAACAAAACTCTTTTTCGATATCAGGGGACCCCAAAACATGTACTTCCGTGGAAAACTTGAAACCGATTTTCTGCAGCATAACATACTTCTCTATACTAAACTACCCTCTCTATATTACTCAGTATATACGTACGTATACGAGAAAGTAACTAGTGGACCTACAAAATGGCACAGACTTTCTCATATTAGTTTGCTGTTTCCTTTCGACTCGGCTAGCTATTCGGACTTACGACATTATCTTCCCAGCTGGCTTCTATCGCCGCCCAAAGTACCCTTTTTTTTGAAATTTTCTTACTTTTTCGATTTTCTTACAGTAGAATGGAAATATTATTTTAAGAATCGTGACAGAAAATTTAACCCTGAAGAACATATCCCAATAATTCTAGAGACTGCCACTCACTCTAATGGCATGACATTAGACCCCATGGCACAACATTAACTCGAACAATGAAATTAAAATGGCAAACAAACATTTAAAACATCACTTGAGACTAAGTAAACTGCTTGATCTTGTCAGTCTCTCAAAAAATTTATTTACAAAAAATGGTCTCCACCTAAATCAGATAGGCAAGCAGAATCATGATGCCATGTTAACACAAGTGTTGAGCTCTTTTCCATCCGCGCAGCCACACACCTCATCCCTACCTATCCCACCATCTACACGTTCCACCACACCACTACCTCCATTTCATGATCCTATCCCAACGGCTACACCTGTCACTCTCACACTTCCTCTCCTAGTCCAATTCCTCAGCCAACGTATAACTTTCGTTGCAACCGCAGATCACCTCCTACCTATTACCTGTGGGAACTATACTTAACAGGAAAGCCCACAACACACACACACACACACACACACTATATATATATATATATATATATATATATATATATATATATATAAGTACTACATCAAAATGTGTTGTCTTTATGAAACAACCGCTTACTCGAGTTTGTAACTACTCCTTAATGACAGGTATCTTCTCAGAAATTCTCAAAAAAGAGAAAGTTAAGCCCCTATTCAAAAAAGGCAACACTCACAATCTCATGAAAGAGATTGAGACCATGAGAGACCAATATCCTTACTATCTAGATTTCCAAAAATTCTAGAAAAGCTTTTTTTGATGATAAACTCAAAATTTTTTCAATTCAAAAAACATATTGACAGACGCCCAACATAGATTCAAAAATGGCAGGTGTACAGACACAGCTATTTTCACCTTTCTAAATGACATACTTGTTGCTCTAGGTCAGAAAGAAATTCCCGTTCTCTGGATTTATCAAAAGCATTCGACATTATTTACCATCACATACTGTTACTCAAACTTGATAAATTATGGAGTACCACAA